GGCAGGTTTTAGAAATCCAGAGACAGGGAAACCCTTCCCGGCCACCAGAGCAGCGGCCGCAGGACCGCTGGGTGCTTTTACCAGCTTTTTTGTGCATTTCCAGCTATAATTAATCAGCACAAACGCAAGCCCAGATTCCAACAGAGAGACGGGGCATAAGCGATAAACCAAGCCTATCTGCCCCGGCCAGCAGCGATACACCACTCCAGAGATTTTTCCCTTTATTTCCCCTTCTTTTCCTTAAGGAAGAAAAACTACGTGTTTCAGCAAGGCTGAAATCAGGCCAGCTCCTTTTCCACCCCCAAATTATTTTCTTTCTGCTAGCCGTCATGTCCAGGCAGCGTGAAGCCGCTGAACCATGAAGGGACCCCCCTCGCCCCCCGCCTACGCTGAGCAGGGCCGGTTGGGGGATCAGCGCCTGCCCCCGCAGGCCGACATGGGCTCGGATCTTCAGCTGCCTAAAACTTGCCATAACTCCGGGTGAAAGGAGGTTTATGGGGGAATTTGTCAGGGAAAAAGCCTTGCTCTGGAGCAGACAGGTGGGGTGCAGAGACTGAGGGGTGGGAAAGAAGCTGGGGGGGGTAGAAAGGCACGAACCCCCCACCCAGACCTACCTTCCCGATTTGGTAATCACCATCTCCGTGCCTCTTTTATGGAATTGTTCCCAAAGCTCTTTGGCTTCCAGATGCACTTTTGGGTCATCTTCTACCTCTTCTTCTGGCTCCAGAGTTTTTAAAGGCCTCAGATGGGCTGCTGCCTGGTGACCCAGGGAAGAAAAGGGAATACCAGTCTCTGCAGCCCCCACTAACTGATCCATGATGGGTTTAGCCAGAGCCCCAGGAAGGGAAAGGGCTGCTGCCCCGTTGGGAGGCAAAGCCAGAGCTGGGAAGAAGGGAGGCTGATGTCCCAACACAGCGCTCATGGCAAAGTCCGGAGCCCGGTGAGGTAAAAAAGGATGATAAGCCATGCTTGTCCCAGGGATCACTGGATCTCTCATCGGGATATTCATCCACTCCACTCCTCGGTCTTCCTACTGCTGGAGTAGTCCCGGAGTGGTTTCTAACAGCACATCATGAAGAAGAAAAATTAAGATAATAACAAGAACACTGATATAGCACCAAAAAATAGGGTGAGGGGAAACAAGCTCTAGACAGCACAGTACATGCGGGAGAGGCAGAACTTCTACAGCCTGCAACTCCGTGAGCCGGGACACATCCCCAGCCCTCGGGACAGCGGATTAACAGGATTGTTCATTATTAGTCTTGATTTTTTTTGTGTTCAGTCTCTGCAGTTGGTTTTGTTTTGTTTTGAGATTTTTTTTTTCCCCTCAGTGGAAGTCCTTGTGCTGGAAAAGAAACGCAGAAGAAGGGTAAAAGAAGAAAAAAAATCCACCGGGTTCGCTGTCTGCTCCTGGTGCCGCAGAAGGGCTGGACAAGCCGAGATCCTTTTTTTTCTTCTTTTTTCTCTTGGTTTCAGTCCCCCCTCTCTTCTTTCGTGGCGGAGGGTGACGGCTCGAAGCTGGGTTTTCTTTTTGGGTGGCTGGCTCGCTGCCCCCCCTCCCC